ACGTATAGCACAACCTCATCTTAAAGTTTGTCACCTAATATACTCTATCAAACAGGATTTACTCTTCCCTGTTATATTCCCCGGAATATTTGAAAAGGAACTCCGACTTAATTCTCGATCCCTAAAACAAGTCTCTGGACTTAGGTGCATACCAAGGGATGTACCAACCAACTTCGTGGTCAGCTAACAGTACCTTTTTATCAGATAGCCTTGGGTTACACCTTGCTCGATAAAATGACTGACCTTTGAATATGATTTGTCGGTCAAGTGGCCAGACCACTGGAGACAGTAGGAAGCCACAAAAGGTTTGTGCCTGGCCGAATACGGTGCTTCACGCAAGCCATTGGCCACGATGTTAAGCAGAGGGAATGACATCGGTGAGCGAACATGAAAGTCTGGTGAAAGCATTTGGCAGGCCTCAGCACAGTTACGTAACAACGGATCGGCACCAGATCATGTTTACCATCGAGGTACAGGCATCATCTATGGAATCCTCCACGTTTTAGCACAACACCGCATCTTCATCCGGGGTTTTCGCTCGTGTCAAAGGCCTTAATAAGGTTGACAAATATGTCTGGAAAGCCAGGTTTTCGTAAGACCATCCACAGTATTTTCCTGCCGCTCCATGGATAAGCCATCTAGTTCCGCTGCTCTCTAAATTTGTGGTTGGATTATGGCCCTCTGGAAGTATGCGGCCGTAGGCAATCTAACATGTATCGGGAAAAGCGGGTTTGTGTAGTTCTACCTGACAACATAACTCTGAAAAGCACACAGAACGATTAGAACAGCGAATCGATCTATTTTCATGTTAGGCGACACATACAAGACCCTGGACAGTAAATTCAAGTTTGTATAGTTTAGATTTTAACTTATATTAATCTGTGGAAAACTTTTCTACCACACGGATAAATAAGCAGGAAAGTCGGCCGTGTGGAAAACTGAATTTCTAGTCGGAAAAATTCCGGACAACCAAGGAGAAAGGAGAGGGACTAAATTAACTAAATTCCTCATAAACTGTTTCCAACTCATTATATGCAAACGTCAAACCAGGTACCGTCAGGTCATGCTTGACATGAACAAGCTAGGAAGATTTGTCGTGGAGGGCTGTGTTTCTTGATGATGCGAATAGACAACGAACTGAATTAGCCAGTCCGACGTAAACGACTATCGGATACATATTTGGACAGCTTTTAACTGAGTGAGAACGTGGCTCTAGCACATCTACATTATCCCAGGGTTGGTGCTTACATAAGAGAGCGATTGCAATGTTGAAAGAAAGTTGCTCCGGCGTTGACATATGACCAGCGCCACCACCCACCCCTGCAAAAAGTCGAAAAATGAGGAGGCGTAGCTGAATCACGATTGATTTTCAGTAATTAATAATGAATATATCGCATCAAATATATGCGTTCTCCCTTCCTCTCTAATGCATTTCTAATCTGACGTAATCCGTTACACTGAAGTCACATCGGGGTGCACAAAGTTCTTCCTAACTTGGGCTGAATGTTTGGATAACTTTAGTAACAACTCGCGACCGAGTACGAGTTCGAGTGAGAGTCCACACACCATGTGAAGTCCCAGTTATTCCTTATCGTTCCTGACGAGTGAGTCACGTCTTCAAGCGTCTTCTAATGCGGCAACGTCAACCACGGTAAGGTAGAATGACCAAGGTAATGGGCGAGTAAACCATTGTATACCTGTTATACATAACATCATAGCAGCTCTTCCGGATGTCGTCGATAGATAGCCTCTCCAGGTAAGAACTTTTAGTACACATCGAATGCACTAGTGGTAAAATAGCCTTAGCAGCTAGATTTCTGCAAGTAATGATAATGTTTTGCAGGCGTAAACTAGGACCGGGTGGGGTCGATCAAGTTTTGTGCACAGACTAGTTCCATCTCTTTCAACAGTTAGTAAGGTTGCGTGGAAATATGTCTGGGGCTGTTGATTTGATGTTGAACTTCTTTGGTCTAATCATTGGGTAAGACCATTGAAATCAAATAGTTAAATGCCGCAACTTGTCATACCTCCTCACCGCCTATGTTCAGAGGTTTCGCAGACACGCCCATACGGATACAGGGAAACTTGGTCTTCAGGTATTGATTTTTAACCTTACAAATACCGCGTAGTGAGCGAAACTGTCTAGTACGCGCAGAATTTCTTTCAGCCTATTGCCCAACAGACTAGACGAATTCAGGGTTGTTATCGACTTTATACATGACTGCATGGATTCTAGTTTTTACCCTACATCTTATGCCTATTCTTCAGGTCTTCATCACGTGTGTATTACAAAAAGGGTTCCAAAGCAAGTTTCGATAAGCCACTTCGAAACAGTACATTCATCTTAGTTACAGAAACTAATCGTGCTCGGATGGAAGCAGTTATAGGTGATCTTTCTTTTTTTAAGCACAATTTGAGGAATACATTGTGAAAGTTTTCCACTCGCGTGCAAACAAAAAGAAGACATGTTCGCAATTCACTGAACGAAGGAGAGCCAACTTACGTGCACAAAATTACAGATTCAAGTTTCAATAAATCTCTCCTAGGGGTATTTTCTCTTGTTCAAAGGTTTTGTAGTACTTGTGCTACCGACTGAGACTAAATCCGAACATTCATTGCCACAGACAGATGATCTGATGGCCACTTCCTACGATGTTACGGACGGTTTTAAATACAGTTTGTCCAAGTCGACGGCTAACTGCCCAATTAGCAACTTAGTAACAATAGGGAACTAGTCAGCACAAAGCGGCGGGCTTTGTTCCGTTGAACAGAAAGGACCTGTAGCAACAAACCAGAACAAAAACATTGTGAAAATAGCAAATTTTTGTAGCTGACGGACAGGAAGGACAATACGGCAGTAGCAGCAGCAGAAAGACAACTGACATTGTCTAAAATAACAGAACGACAATAGCACTATCAGTGCCAAAGATTTAGACGGCATAAACCCACGACGACACAAACTACGCTTTTCTATGGTCTGCCGATAGCGCCCGATTCTGGATGAGTATCAGCCACCGGACGACAACACTGTCAAATGGTTATGTGAAGTTCTAGAGCCAAATCAATCTTCCTTACCAAGCGTATCGTTAATTCGAGTTAAAGACATGACAATTACAGAAAGAAAATGCTATCCCCGGGATGTTTCATTACCCTGTTAAGGAATGTGCGACACATATGTGACACCAGGGGGGCGAGATGGCCCGCGTGGTTAGAGCGCGAATTTACTGACCGGAAGGTCCATGGTTCGAACCCAACCTCTGCCTCTCGGATTCCTTTGACTAGGCTTGGTCAACCTAGCAATACCCCGGTCCGCATGCAACCTTTGGGTGGCAGGGCAGGCAGGCACCGAAAGGGTGCCACAGCTAAACGACGTGACATCATTCGAAGTAATGAAATTTCCCACCACTTTAAACGTTGCCCAACTAAAGGAAATAATTTCACACTGCACGCTTAATGCTAAATTCCCGTTCAAAGGAGCACTTTGCAGATAGAATTCGGAGTAGAAGCGAACTCCCCGCCTACAGGCTTACTGACGTCTTAGCGTGGCAACACGCTACTGGTCAACGAAATAGCAAAACATAACTTTACGGCAAATTGGTTGACGAGGCTTTTCTGATATGTGATGCCCCCGTTGGACCACTATCTACATCGACTGGTTTTTAGGAGGCATATCCAAATATTTTTTAGTTAGTTGTGAACTAAAACAGAAAAACCGAATCATTCCTTGATGTGTCATCAACCCGAACACACCAGTTTCATAGTCGACGGGGCTTGTACCGTAACTAGTTATACACAAACTCGAACAGCTTTGTTCCATTGTAAACAAACCAAACTCGGTACGGTGTCTGCGATAGTGCAAGCACCATTTGCTCAAAGTGGCCTGGCGGAGCAAACAGGATACCCTAAGGACATATTTAGGGGGAATGGTTATCGAGACAGATTGCTGAAGCACTCACAGCTCAGACTAAACTAACGCTTAACTTCCAAATCCCCGATCGAATACAATAAAAACTTCCGATAAGGCCGAGGTAATTGTAATGGATCTTTTCCAGATAAGCCCCGACACTAATGCAAAATGTGCATGTGCGAAAAGTTAAGCCCCACCACATTTGCCAGCTCCAATTTAATGTACACACACAACTTGGATGATGAAAACAATTCCTCATCCGCAATCTAGACTCTTTTGTGCAAAAAATTTCTCCGTTCGGACGTAAAACCTTAAATAACTCTCTGATACTTTCAATTCTCAATCATGACTATAAGACGGTAATACATTTTTTCAAAGCCACGGAGTGATCATTCGGCAACGTTTATGCAACAATGGACACAAAACGACACTTCCAACTGTTTCTGACAAGTGGAGGTGTAATCGCATCGATAGCATGACGTCAGTGTTCAATACTGATGCTTCACTGCCGTACGAACATGATTTATTTGAAAGCCTTATTGTAAAGAAAAGAGTAAAGGTGGACGGGGAAGGGACTTGGTGCCAGCTTAACACAATCATTCCGAGGTGCCTAGACCTCCAGACATTCACTCAGGCAATCTGGATAGAAACTGACAACAAGAACGCCACTGACATCGGTTGGCAGCCATATCTTGTAGTGTC